TGCCTTAGCTTACTGCTTCGAATCTTGACTCCTTATTCTACTTTTGAAAACATCTATAAAGAGTGTAATGCCCACAGTCCGGTAATCATGCCTTAAATTTGTATCCTCACTGCACTACTCCACCTTCATCGGAGTGGTGTTGTCCTTCGTCTTGACTGCATCCATTGCTCTGCCGTCACCAAGCGCCGGTGTCGTTATTCACTTATGCATCCACTGCTCTGCTATCCTCGTTCAAGTCATAGATATCTTTCTGTTTTACATGGAAACTCCTTTTTTGTTTAAACTCTACAAACATAAACACGTGAGGGCAATCAAGTCATTTTATTTGGAGTTTAAGAGACGGTACTCATGTACAATGAATTTTAGTCATATTTCCGTCAAAAAAGTTTTTTAGTCATAATATGGAAAAGTCTCTGTCTTTTACTCATATTGCCGTATTTTTCCCATGGTAAAAGGTCAACTGCTTAATTACAAAAAATGACAAGGAAATATTAAAAAAATGAAACAAATATAATTCATCTAGTAAATCAGTTCTAAGCATATAAGGTTATTTTATCGGAAAACTCAAAAATGAAAAGATGACCCCTAAACTCGGTTTCGTTGTGGTCCATTTTTATATTACACTAGTTAATGAGTAAGAAAAATATATAATCTTTACGCTAATTGTTACATTGATTGCTGCTTGCAGTACGAACATAGGTTTAATTAATAGAACTTTTGTTTTTTATATTTGTTTTCTTTTCATTTTTTTAGTTTGCGGTAATATATTTGTATGCGGTAGCGGTTTAACGATGAAACACGATAATGATTAAAAAGATTTTTATTTGTTAATAAAGAAATTATATTAAATGGGACTAAAACATGGTTAAAACTCCAAATAAGGACTTCAAGTTTTAAATTGCCTAAATGGGACTCCACATTACACTTTTGCCCTTCTCGCCTCCTTCTGCAATTCGTCACTGGCCACGCACATCGGCAACACATCGATGGCTCTTTCTGCAATCTACGATAAATTCATCGTAGCAGCAGCTCCGCACATCCCTTGACAGCAGCTCCTCCATCGGCTATGGCCACGCACCGCAACTCCATCGTCGACCACATGTATCCTTCTTCTTCCTCTTCTTCTTCTTCTTCTTCTTCTTCTTCTTCTTCTTCTTCTTCTTCTTCTTCTTCTTCTTCTTCTTCTTCTTCTTCTTCTTCTTCTTCTTTTTCTTCTTCTTCTTCTTCTTTTGTATATGAACTTCCCATCCTCTTCAAATTTGGGTCCTCTGTTTTCTTCTTCTTTAGATTTTCAGAAAATGACACTTTTTGAATAAGAGAATGTCATTGTTGTGTCATTATTGATCATTTTTAAAAAATGTCACTTTTATGTCATTACAGTATTTGAAAATGTCATATTGAGAATGTCATGTATCTATACGAAATTGTCATTATTGTGTCATTATGCATATGTTAAGTGTCATTCTTGCATATGAAGTGTCATTCCTCATTGAAGTCTACACAGACTCAATGCAGAGTAGATTTTTATTGGAGAATGTTGACAACGTACTTGTTGAGGCGTGAAAGTGGTGGCAGACTTGATGGATGGTGGCATAGCCGCCATTAGTGGAGGCGCCGAGTAATATGATGAGAGATGCGCATATCACAATCACAATCCATAGTTTTATGCCGAAGAAGGAAGTCGGAACTGAGAGTTTCTGGGTAATGGACGATATTATGGAAGGCATGAGGAGATATGCAGAAAAATTGCATAGTAATGATTGAACTCAAGTATAACTCTGCTTTAAAAAAAAATTAAATTACCGGAATAATCGGCGCCTAAGAGCTGGCAGCTAACGACTGATCTTTATCAAAGGCCCTTGCGAACTCTTCATTAAGGGCATTTTTGTCAAATTAGCTCTTTTTAGTCTTATTTTTGTCCAATAAAACATAGTAGTCCTGTTTTTGCAATTCTAACTTCTTTTAGTCCTATTTAGGCAAATCTCTCTTGTTAATATTTACTTGGTAAGATACCGGAACTTCACAAATATGATATTATCAATTCCTATTTTGGTTCTATAAAAAATTCTAGAAATGAACCAATATTAGATCAACGACTTTTCATATGGTTCCAAATTTCCTTTTGAATAATTGAACCGATTGGACCTCCATTTTTTCTTTGTAAGATGATAAATAGAAAATTACTTTTAAAATTTTGTTTAAATTTATCTTGTGTTCAATATTGATGAAGATTCTCGTTGTTCACATTTTATTTATTTATCATAAAATGACAAAAAAATATCAGATTTTAATTTACAAACCATACATATCGAGAGCATCCATCCTCGTACCCTCCCTCTCAACCCGCTACTAGTCCAAAAACCGGGTACATGGGCAGTTGTGACGAGTAGAAGACAAAAGAAGAAACACATGTAAATCTTTGCGTAGGATCGAAGATTGAAGAAACAATTGTAGAAAATTAATGTACTAATAATGAGTCAAAAGTATATAAAAATCCATGGTTTTAAAAGTCTATAAAATTAATAAAAGTTTAGTTTTTTACCAGAATAGGGTTAGGTTAAACATATTTCCTGAAATACTGTTAAGTTAAGCCCTAGTTAAGAGAACTGTCACTTGAAATGATGGCTTAGGGAAAAAATAAAATAGGGACGTAGCAACGCAGGCCACAAAGACGAGAATATTAGTCACGGTCTCATCAAAATAAAATTTCATGTTTTTTAAAGTGCTATAGTTTTTTATTTGTACTCCAATTGTTACAAAAAGTATATCAAAATTATTCATAACTTTTTGTAATCTTTCAAATGACATCAATATTCAATATATCATAGTAAAAAATAATTTAACATTTTAAAAAACATATGTTTTTTAAAGTGATATATATAACCGTTTTATTTGTACTCCAATTGTTAAAAAAAGTATATAAAAAATAATAACATTTTATTATCTTTCATATGACACCAATATTGAAAATATAAAGATAAAAAAATATTTTAACATTTTAAAAACTTTTTTTTTTGGTGCAATAATTTTTTATCCGTACTCCGAATGTTAAAAAAACAAATATATCAAGATTCATAACTTTTTATTATAGAAATTGCCCAGTGTAGGAGTAAACGTAAACATAATTTCACAAATAGGAGTAATACTTAAAACTTCCTTCAATAGGAGTAAACATTAATTTTCTACCCTTAATTACCCCTAACCTAATTAATTCTAAAATATGACTTATTTGAACCTATTAAAGTATAAAAAAATTGTATATTTTTAAAAATATTTAAAAAAATAAAACTAAGAAAAATTATTTTTAAAAAAAAAAAAACTCTTAAAATAAATAAAAAATAGATGAACCACATTAAACACTATAAAAAGTTATGCAGGCCTTTTCACGAAGCCTCGGCCATCACCTGGCAATGCCACCTCTGGTCGGTGAAAAAAATGCCATTATATGTAAAAATTGTCGTTTTTTCAAGATGTCATAAAGATGACAGTTTTACTCTTTGAAAATGTCAAATTTTCTCGTAAACTGCCATCATGATGGCATTTCGGACAAATGTTGGCTTTTTTCGGTGGTTGGGGCTGGTGGTGCTGAGAGGTTGTTGAGGCGGCGACAAACGCCTATATTTTTTTGTATTTTTCATTTTTTTAGTTTTTTGTTTAATATTTTTTATTTTTAATAATTTTTTATTTTTATAATTTTTTAATACGGATTATATTTTATTTAATATATTTTTTTTTGTTTTTTTATTTTTTACAATTTTATTATAAATTAATTAATGTTATTTGTTTTATGTTTTAATTATTAATGAAAGTTGTTGGGGCCTTGACTTTGGGTAGGGGTATACTTGTCCAAACACTAAAGTTAGTCTTATTCAAAACATGATACTTCTATTTTTGCATTTTGCCTATGTTTTAATCCTATTTGGGGAATTCTCCTTTATTATCTCTCATATGACATTAAGTTGCATTTATAAAAAAATAGTTCTATTGTTTTGTGCGGCTTAGCAACATTCTTAACCATACACACCATTAATCCAGAGTGATAGCTTAGGACAAAAAAGTCCATCACTTTTTTATTGTTTTATTCTTTGCGCTAGAATTTGTGGAGTTTTATTTTAAGCTATCACTGCGGATTAAATAGTGTGCATGGTACAAAAGCTAAGGGATCCTAAACTGCAAAAGTTAATAAAAAGTTTTTTAACAATAAAAAGTTATGGTTTTTGATATATTTTTTGTAACAATCAGAGTACAAATAATAAAGGTGTATATCACTTTAAGAATAACAAATGTTTTTAAGGTGTTAATTTTTTTATATATTCAATATTAGTATCATATGAAATATAATACGGAGTACTACGTAAAAAATTACTCCATATGAATTTTGATGTATTTTTTCTAACAATTGGAGTACAAATAAAAAACTTATATATATCCAATATTGATGTCATATGAAATATAATTAAAAGTTATGAATTTTAATATTTTTTGTAACAATCAAAATACAAATAAAAAACTATATAACTTTTTAAAAATGCTTTTTAGAGTGTTTGATTGTTGTTTTATTTTTATATATTCAGTGTCATTTGAAAGATAATAAAAAGTTTTGAATTTCAATATATTTTTTATAACAATTGGAGTACAAATAAAAAATTTATACCATTTTATAAAAAAATATGAGATTTTATTTGGTGAGCCCCTGGCTAGTATTCCCCCATTTGGGGCTTGCGTTATTATCTCCCCGTTTTAAATTTGGTAAGCACGTTTTAAGTAGGGTAATAATTTTAATTCTTTTCCCAACACATGTACGTAGAATATAGAAATGATAAATGTTTACGTGCGTAGTATATACTATCGTATGTCATTATATTCGGTATCTTCTCAATTAAATGTCTTAATATATTTTAGTTTATATTTAGAAACAATTCCTAAAATGAGGGGTATACATTCATGAATGTATAAATATATCACCAATAAACATCGACAGTTCAACTTCTCGTAGTCATAAAACACATATCATTCGTATTTTGGTGCCCTTAACAGGTAACCAAAATGATGCACACATTATAATATTTTTCATTTTGTTAATTATTGGCAACTTGGCATCCCGCGTTATTCTTTTACTTCAAAGTTCTTGTTTATTCATTGACTAATTCGTTCATTATTACTGTAATTGTAATTGAAAAAGAAACATTTTGCATGCATGAGGATTGTACTTCATTCTTCCAAAAAACACAGCTACTTGAAAACCCACTTTTGTCCAATAATTCAAGTTCCATAAAATGTTTGAAATATAACTAAATTGCATGTATCCTAAAAACACTTAGATGTTTTGAAAAGTGGTCTTTTTTGGAAATAAATCATGAATGGTGTAGTACTACCCTCCCTATATTAAAAAATTCATACATTTTTCAAGAAAAGCATTCAACAATACTCAAATATTTTTAATCAAGGATGGATGCCGATTTTATTGCTGTGAGGGTGGGGTGGAATTTTGCCAGCATATACTATACACTACATTGAATTGTACCACACTCTAAATTTACACAATGACACAAATAAATTAGATTATATAATTGAAGTGCTTTAAAAAAGGTATTGGTAATTGAGTTGTGCTGTTATTTATTTGTCAAAGTCAAGAAATTAAAACATCATTGATGCTCATGAAGAAAAAAGAACCAAACTTAATTAAAATAGTTTATCAAGATAAACAATTCTAGATTTTTCTTCTTTTATAGTTCCTATTAAGTATTATCATATTATGTAACACAATAAATTAATTTTTAATACTAAAAGTCAGGGGGTCGAAAATGTATACTAAGTATGGAAAATTTATGAAAATATTATATATATATATATATATATATATATATATATATATAGAGAGAGAGAGAGAGAGAGAATAAAGATCAAATGAGAACAGTGGTTAACGTGAGAATGTGAGAACATCACATTTTCCCCAACGTGTTGCACAACGAAGCTTGTATATTACACATTTTCACATTTTCACAATATTTACCAAAATGCCACCGTGTTTATTTAATATAGGCTTAATTCTGGCAAATTAAAATGTGCAAGATAATAGCTCCATTGTGCACCACATTGATTTAAATGTGAGTGTTCTCATGTTCTCACGTTAAGCATTGTTCTCACTAGAACCGCACCCTATATATATATATATATATATATATATATATATATATATATATATATATATATATATATATATATATATATATATATATATATATATATATATATATATGTGTGTGTGTGTGTGTGTGTGTGTGTGTGTGTGTGTGTGTGTGTGTGTGTGTGTGTGTGTGTGTGTGTGTGTGTGTGTGTGTGTGTGTGTGTGTAGGGTTTTTAGTTCGAAACCCGCTAGGCACATAAGTGTTTGAAATTCAATGGACTGAGTTTCAGCCCTGATTACTCCAACCCCCCCAACCCCCCTCCCCCAGGCCCACTCCCCCAGGCCCCCAGCCCCTGGATTAATTATATATATAGGATTTTTACTGTCCTGTCGGTTCGGACAAGAGCCCTTTCCGGCCTCCGCCGTTTGGGGCGGTTCCCGGTGGTATTTTTTGCTGAAATGTCTTGTGTATGTTCTTCATCAAGTCTAGTTCATCTATACCAAATTTGAGCAAAAAAATCAATCGGGAAGGTTGTCAAATGATTTTTGAAATATAACTGCGCCAGAATATACATATAAAACACAGTTATTTTTTAAAACTCATTTGACGATCTTCCCGATAGAATTTTTGCTCAAATTTGATATGGATGAACTATACCTGATGAAGAACATACAAAAAAATCAGCAAAAAATACCACTGGGAACCGCCCCAAACGGCGGAGGCCGGACGGGGGTCCTGTTCAAATCGGTCGGACGTGAACATTTGTAATGTGTGTGTGTAGAATAAAGTTCAAATAAGAATAGTTCTTAACGTGAGAACATGGGAACCTGAGAACACCACATTTACCCCAACGTGTTGCACAATGAAGCTTTTTATATTGCACTTTTTCGCGTTTTCACAATATTTACCAAAATGCCACCGTGTTTATTTAATAGAGGCTTAATTCGAGCAAATTGAAAATGTGCAACAAAAGGGCTCATTTGTGCACCAAATTGATTTAAACGTGAATGTTCTCACGTTAAGCATTGTTCTCATTGGAACCACACCCTATATATACACACATAAATTGAAGTTTCAAGTGGGGCGATCGCCCCCTGCCCCCCTAAATACATCCCCGTTTTCCATTAGATTGAGATTCGAAGCAACAACCACATTTACTTTATAAGATAATTAGAATGCTATCACAAAATGTTAAGTGGTTCTTATTAAATTAGCCTATGCTCGAAGCTATATGGTGTTATAACCTATTGATATATTGTAGTGGCATTCCACAATTTGGTTGCTTAAAAAATTTATATTACTCATTTTTTATAGCAGTCTACGAACAATGTCATCATCTACTGGATTTGTGAATGGGCCTAGACGCCAAATAAGTGAATGCAGAAAAGTGATAATACTTCAACTCTTGGCAGATAGGAGGAGGATTCAACAGTTAACGACTTATATAAATAACCTACGGATGATATACAATATGAGTGACGACCACAAAACCGCTATGTATCATGCTGAACAAGAACGACATAACATGATTGATCAAGAGCAAGCAAAGGAAACCATACTAGCCAATCAATTTGACTTAAGTGATGCAATATTAAGCGATAATATTGCTCTCCAATCTTTTGTAGCTGAATACTTTCCAAATTAGTAACTAGTGATGCTTCAAATTGACAAGTGATGATCTACTAGTGAGTTGTTAATAATTAGTAATGAATAAGTTTGAGTAATACATTAGTTTTATAGTTAATCATTATGGTAGGTCAGCCTATTTTTTGTAGTGCACATTCACATCCATTTATATGAATAAGAGTGCATTTCGTATTATCTATGTCTAAAGAGCTTATTGAATGTTTGTACATATCAAAGCACCTGCCAAGGGAATTGAATTATGGGATTGAAAAGAATGAATGCGCATGATGACTAAACCTATCAACACTAACTTTTTCTCGCATATGCTGCGTTTGGAGCATGTATCCCACTGCGTTTTAGAGCATGACGGAATCCACTGAATTACTTAGTACTAAAAAAGAGAAAATTTCCCACTTTTGGTCCATCGAGTATTATACCACTTCCGCATTACGTACCTGACTTTCAACTTGTCCACATTTAGTCCCGACGTTTTCTTCCTTTACCATCCGTCGTCCTTCCGACCAAAACTCCGACCGGTTGAATCATTTATTAAAAAAGGGAAGGTTAGTCTAGTAATTTCATAGGCTGGTCTTCACTTCTTCCTCGCCAACTCCATCTGTATCGTAATCACCCCTTCTTTAATACCCCTTACATTATCCAACATTTAAACCTAAATCCCCAACCAACTAGTCCGTCGTTTTCCTCCTTCGTAGGCACTCCCTGTTCACTCCAACGACAACCTCTGTAAGCTCGAAGGCCACCATGTATAGCAGCAGTTCAACTACCTCGAAATCAATAGGCCGGTATGAATATGGAGAGTGGATTCCGGTCAAACATTGTCAATGTGGGAAAGAATTGAAGCTTTTGACTACATGGAAACCAGAAAACTGTGGGAGAAGATTTTGGAAATGCGTTGGAAATGAGGTATTAGTAGCATGGTGCAGCTTTAAAATTTTCCATATTTTCTGAGATGATTGATTTTGTAAGTATTTGTATTATGTGATTGCACTGGTCTGAAGGGTGTGGTTTGATGGACTGGTTTGACCCTCCAATGTGTAAAAGATCCAAGAAAATCATTCCAGGGTTGTTAAGAAAACTGAATGGGTATGAAAACCACATTCACACATTGGAGATGAAGCTGGAAGCAGCTGAGAAACCAGAAAACAAAAAAGATAAGATGGAGAAGATAGAGCACAAAAGATACTCTTGCAGCAGACTGGGCGTGTGCATTATAACATTTTTTGTGGTTTTTGCATCCATGTATGCACATAGAAAATAGTCTTGTAGCATGGTTTTTATGTATTCAGAACAATTTTGAGGAATGTTGGTAATATCTTTGAAATGTATTGATGCCAAATGTTCATGTTGATGACATGTATTTATGAAGTTCTTTTGCATATTCAATGTTACAACTGTTGTGTTACATTATAAACTGGAAAACATGGTTCACTACAAACACACTTAACTTGAAACATATACTATGGTCACTAAAAGAACTGAATTACAAACATAAACACACTGGTATATCATCCCATTGAAAATAAACATAAACAACATGTCATATCTCCTGGTGGACAAACAGAATTACAAACATAGACACACTAAAATTACAGTCATAGCAAATGTTTTGTACTTCCAAAACAACCACCATTTACACATAGCAACCTGTAATATCTCCTGGTGGGCAAAAAACATAGTGATAACTACACTGAAGTTCATGGTACATCAAACACTACAATAAAACCTACAGCAAAATGGAAGCCCCTACAGTCCTTTCCAAATGATTGACATCAAACACTAGCCAAGGTCAATTGGGTCTGCATCATTCCCAAAAAAAACAGACTTGAAGGTCATTTTGGATCTGGTAGAATAGGTTGGTCCTTTTTTTATGTCAAGTTTTTTGAGTTTTGGTTTTCCATGTCCTGAGTTCACCCCTTATGGTTGTGCACCTTTTGAACTAAAAGTCTTAGAAGGAGGGGGTGGTCCAAAGCTTATCCTGACCCCATGAGTATTTCTTTGCTCAAACCCATGGGTGTTGTCTTTGTCAACATCATCAATCTTGTTTTCATCAATAGCATCACTCTGGTTTGCAGCACTATCCTGACTTTGGGTTTCAGTCCCTTCTCCAGTCTCTCTTTCAGCATCTTGGCCACTTAGTTTTTCAGCTTCTTGATCACTCACTTGAGTGAACATTGAAGTATCTTCCACTGAAACAACAATAGGAAACTCAAGTCCTAAAGATGGGAAGTCTTCATATTGCATATTGATATCCATAAGGTTGTCCTCATCTAAAGCAGAAACCTTGGATGCTCCCACATCCTCATTACCAGCACTTTCACCAACACTTCCTCCACTATGCCTTGGTGCAGATTTTGGTTTTCTTTTTCTAGGTTGAAGCTGAGTGTAGAAAAAATATAATGGTTAAAGAAAAATAAGATGAAGTACATATAAGTCCTAAATAAGTAAATGACATATATAACATAAATCATGAGTGTATTTACCAGTTTCTCTTTGTTATTTGGATCTTCAGGACACCTCCTTGCATTATGGCCTTCTTTTCTACACTTTGAACAATGCATCTTGATGTGTGTCCTTGCTACTCTCACTCCATCATTGCTTAGATCCACAGCTGATTTCCTCCTCAGTTTTTTTGGCCTTCCGGGCTTGGCTGAATACACAGGAGGAAGTGGGGGAATTTTATCAGAAATAGGCCACTCATCTTTGCCTGCCATTGGCTTTATACTGCCAGCATATATCTTCAAATATGATTCTTTTGTGTAACATGGGTGCATGTAAGCATCAACTGGACCTCTTCCATACTTCAACCAAATAGCACACACAACATGCTTGCATGGTATACCAGTTAAGTCCCACAGCCTGCATGTGCATATTTTCCTCTCTAAATCAACCCCATGCTGTGTACCACTCATTCCAGTAATCTCAAAGTCATTCTCACCACACTGATACCCTATTAAACCTGCAGCTAACTTCTCAATGTCTTGTAACTTTTTCACAATTCTAGGGCACAAATTAGTAGTCCATTTCTCTGCCTTTTGTCTACTAGTAAAAAAATTTGTGACCAGTAGCTTCCTAATGCTTTCAAGACATACTAAAATAGCCTCTTGCCTTGCCTCTAAAATGACCCCATTCAAACACTCACATATATTATTAGTTAACATATCTGTTTTGGAGTGTGTAGAGAAATGAGACTTGGACCATTCCGTAGGATTTTTATCTGCCAGCCAATCAAAAGCCTTTTCATCAATTTCCTTTAACTTGGTGAGACTTGTTTTGAAAGAATTCACTGTACAAGCCCTGGCACAGTCCCAAAGTGCATCTTTCACAGCTTTTCCAGGAAATCCAGCCACCTTCATATTCCCATGTAGATGCCTAACACAGAACCTATGTTCAACCATGGGAAATAACTCATTAACAGCTTGGATGAGGCCTTTTTGCTTGTCAGACATCAATGTGAATACATGTTCATTCTCTTCATTGATATCAGCATCCCTTCTTACAAGGTTCAAAAACCAAGCCCATGAATCCTTTGTTTCCCCCTCAACAATAGCATAGGCCAAAGGAAAGATGTTATTGTTTGCATCTAACCCTACTGCAACTAGCAACTGCCCACCTGTCATTGTTTTAAGATGAGTACCATCCAAACCTAAAACTGGTCTGCAACTTTTGAACCCTTCTCGAGACGCTTCCCAACACAAGTACATCCTCAAAAACCTTTGTTTCCCACCCTCTTCTATGTTTTCACTGAGTTTTACAGTGCATGTGGTTAGTGGATTAGTCCTTCTTATTTCTTCCACATAACACCAGATCTTGTTAAAGTATGCATCCTCCTCACCTCTGAGCTTTCGTTTGGCAGTGCTCATTGCTCTGTAAGCCTGCCTTGTACTTACATGGAATTGTTCATCAGTACACACCTTTTGTCTGAATTCTTTGGTCTTCCAGTTTGAGTGACTTTTAATCTCCTTCAACCATCTCTTAGCAACTTTGGTTGAGTTAACCATTTTATTGTGATACACCCAAGAGCACCCATCATGCTTATTTTGGTACTCAAGTATCCTCCAAGAGTGAGCATTAACTACCTTTCTGAGATTGATCCTCCATGGACAGTCTAGGTGTTTGCACTTCACAACAACTCTTATCTTGTCATTCTTTACAAACTTCACATCTTTACCAGTCTTGAAAGCATGGTTTTGAACTGCCTGCATGAATTCATGTTTGGTACTGAATGTCATTCCAAGCTTAAAAGATGGGTTTTCCATATCAGTTTGGGCACAAAATGTACTCCAGTTTTCAGCATCAGAATCTGAATCATGTATTGAAGCATCATCAGACAAATTTGGATCAGGATCTACCACTAATGATTCACTTTCTATGTTCTGTCTTTCACTGTTGCTGTGCAGCCCTCCATATTCAGCTGTTGGATCAATGTGTTTAGCAAAATCAGCATCATCTTCACATATGAAGTCCCCTAAGTCAGAATCTTCATCATCCCTTGAAAAGTCTTCTAGGTCCTTCTCACTATAAGCAAAATCACTATCTGAGAGGTCCTCATCTGTATCTCCATTGTCATCAACTTCTTCTAATTCTATCCACAACTCCACAATTTTACCCACACTGCCATTACTCACAAAGGACCAGATTTCAGAGTCACCTTTCAGTTCATTTAGTGAAGAAATTGAATAGCAAAAGACTCTTCTTAACTTCTTTGTGCAACCAACTTCTTCTAGTTTCTCTTTCAACACAATTAAGCCAAACTCATCCACATCTACATCAGAAAACAAATGTGTAGTACCTCCCCTGTAAAATGGTCTGCTACTCTCACTCACTCTTCCTCCGTACCTCAACTTTAGAGTAAACGTGGTATCACATGGGGCTGCATAAAAACATTTAATGTGGTAGTTCAATCATTGTAAGTAAAGGGAAAACGAAAAAGAATTGGTCCTATTTGTCAAATCCCAAAAAGTAAAGAGAAAAACGATTCTCAACAACAAAAACCCTACCCTACCGAGCACAAAACCATACCCTACCGAGCACAAAACCATACCCTACCGAGCACCATTTGTACTTCAGTTCAACAAACTTACCATTACCAGCAACATTTGATGAA